GTTTTGTAACTTACCTGCCTTCATCAAGAGAACAGCTGTGAGCTGTTGGGCTTTCATGTATAAATACACATCAATTTACATCAAATTGTTCATTTTCAGATCATTAATACCAGATATGCGATTTGAAGATACCACAGATTGTGGAACTTGTTCAATGAGGGAAATTATCATTGACTGATCAAGATTATTTGCAAGAAAATAATAAATTGTGCTTCTGCCTTCGATTCATGTGTCTAATATTTCTTAACACGTTCGCTGCGTATGTCGTTCATCGGCGACATTTTGTTTTCCACTGCAGTGCTGATGTCGTCTATGTACGACACGTCATTATAGACAGGTTTTAACTCGTAAAAATATCGCTAATGATGTTTTTTGGTTTTCGAATAGATGATTCATTATAATTATTTGAAAAAAATAGTTCAGGTTCTGGGAAGATATTCGAGATACGCAGCGAACGTGTTAAACGTCAAAATAACAACATAACCTATAGTCAGAACTGTCAGCACGCCAGAAATCTAAAGCAGTACACACAAGTAACTTACCGGAGAAGACATGATATTTTTGAAATCAAGGAGGTCATAAATGCGTCCTACAATTGTAGGAAGTCCGTAGTCATATGGCATTAGTAGCTGCAAACAAGTGCTGTCCGAATACTTTTTCCACTCAATGTATTGTTTTAAAATGTAATTCTTCTTTAATATCTATATGTATAGAGAGAGGCTCCTCCAGTATGCCTACTTTCTGAGTATGCATGAACTGCTCGATATCCATCTATTTTCAATTCCGTTTTTTCCAAATCGGTAGTAATATGTGTTTCAGCCAAACAAATAATCCCAGGTTTCCACTGATGTAACTAGTCAAACTAATTGTGCTTCATGTGCTAATAGGCTTTCTATATTTAAGTATATAATATTTTGCTGCTTTAACTGCTATTTGTTCTTCACTTTGCTAAATGTTTCAGGATAGTTAGCCCTCGTTTGACGTTACCTAAATATTGTCTTGTATGTTTCACAATTTCTGTTGTATGCACAATGATTATAATTGATATCTAGTATCTGTAATATCTCTTTTGCATGTTTACAGTTAACACAAATATTACTGCTTGTACATTCCTCCTGTTCATGTTCTTTACTGCATTTTTTGACAAATATCTGTTGTACTTTTACAATCTTTACCCATGTGTCCGATCTCCAACATTTAAAACAATGAATTATGTTGAGATGATCAAAATATTTACATTTCCTCCACCCAACATACAATTTCTATTATAGCCACGTTTGCTTTTCTTCTGTCTTCACACATACTTATGACTTCCAATGTTTGTTTCTTCTCTATTCTCACACCATTTTGGCAAACAATACTTTCGATAAGGACTTCATGATCTTGGACAATTTTTTTCTGTTTGTTACTTTTATTCTAGGGTTTTTCTTCTCTGGAATGTTTATTTCATACTGCTGCATTTTCTCCTTTACATTTTCTGATATATTCTTAATACCCTCTTTCCGTGAAAACGTTACTGCTATTCCCCCATCTCGATTAAACTTTACCCTTGATATGCCTGTGCCAATTGGCACCGTGGATCTATCTGTTCTTCAATAGCCTTTTGTGTTACTTAACTATCTTGTTTTTTATCTTTTGGTTTTATAACTACTACTTCTTCAGTATTTTTTATCAACTAACACTGTACGAGTATTTATCGATTTGCTTAGGAAAAGTGAGCTCATCCATGTTCCTCATGTTGGCCAATTGTTGTTTTACTTCTTCTATTAGAAGAACCATCATTGGAATCTTCTTCAGCACAACCTTACATACATCACAAGCAAACAACAGCACACGCTTTTGCAATGGCATACATCTTTCTTCACAGCTAAAAAGCGCAACTCCAACTCCACAAACATCACACTGGTAATAGTATTCTGTTAGGTTCTTTTTACATTTTGAACAAATATTCACCAAAAGCAGGTTACAGTTCGAGAAATAAAAAAAAGAATAACAGCAGACGATTATCACTTTACAAACTGCGTTTTTTTGTAATTTAACCACTAAATCGGTTTTTTACTCCAATGTAAAGATCTCACCCTTACAAATATTTTGATGTAAAATTCCACTCAAATACGTTTAATAAGGAAGTCGAATTTCACGGACGATACTCTTATGTACTACTACTTATTGTCCTCTACACTTTACTATTAAAAACTTCAACTTGCGCTGCTATAGCTCTAGTACTCATTGTTGGGTCGTCTTGGACCATTTCTAAAGAGTCTTCCTCAATTTTTAATATTTCAGGTCGAGCAGATCTTCCAGCATTGTTCTTTTAAATATCCTGTGTCGCGAAGTCTAATAACTACTGGTAAATTTACAAATATCCGTGGAAACCTTTCTGCATACAACCTGCATACTGCAGCTGCTTTTTGTTTGCATTTATTTATTTATTTATATACAGTTTGGAGTGTTAACAGGTAAACCCAACACACACCCTCAGTGTACTAAAACTAAACTTACATAAAATATCGTATACATATACATATATTACATTATTGAATACTTCAATATTAATATTTTTTTTATCAACATAAACTGAGTGAGTAGTTCTAATTATAAGCAATAAACTATTAATTTAACTTTTTTAATAAAAGGCGTATACATAATTTAACATTTACTTAGGTTTAATTAAAACTGAAATCAAAATTAAATTGAAATTATACCAGAAATGATATTGGAGGTGATAACTTGAGTTATGTAAAAAAATAAAACATTTCTATTTTAGTCTGCCATAGAGCTGTAATACTCATACTTTAAAGCCTTTTTCAGGAAGGTCAAGCTAATGTTAAATAAATCTATATTACAGAAATTATTATGATTTTTTTGAGCCCTGACCAAAGGGGAATTAAGCCCAAGATTAGTTCTACGGAACGGTATTCTAAACAGATGATAGGTTCTAAACGTTCTATCAGGAGTGTTAAAGTTCAAGTTTGCCAAAAGATCCTGACAGTCAGTGAGGCCATTCAACAATTTATGAACACAGCAAATGTCAGAAATCGTTCTTCTATCTTTTAAGGAAATCATATTGAACTGTTTCATAATTTGCGTATAATGATGATCTGTAACAGGTTGGTGAGTTTTATGTGCTAACATCTTCAAAAATTTGTGTTGAATTCTTTCTATCCTGGCTATATGTACATTGTAAGACGGATTCCATATTACTGATGCAAACATCAATTTGTTGTGTATATAAGCGTAGTACAATGAAAGACGCGTTTTTGGGTTCGTAAATTCTCTGCATGTCCTGTTTATGAACCCTAGTGTTCCAGTTGCGTCATTTAAGATGTGCTCTACGTGAGTGATGAATGAGAGTTTCTCATCAATGTATACCCCTAGGTCTTTTACTACATGAAGCTTTTCCAGTTCTGCCGTCCCTATCTTATATCTGAAATCTATAGTGTTCGCTATATTTCTAGTAAGCCTCATGTAATGACATTTTGTTAAATTCAGGAAGATACTGTTTTCAGTGCAATACTTTTGCAGAGATTCCAAATCGCTTTGAAATTTTACACCGTCATTTACATTTCTAACAATAGTAAATATCTTTAGATCATCAGCATATAACAAATATTTACTGAAATGAAAAACAGAAGTAAGGTTGTTCGTGTATATGTTAAATAACAATGGTCCTAAGTGACTACCTTGTGGTACGCCTGAAGTTACTAAGAATGTCTCCGAACGATACCCATTGATAGTCACCACTTGTTTACGATTACTTATATACGATGCTAGCCACTGCCATAATGGACCATCTACACCCACCTCAGCAAGTCTCTCCATCAAGATAGAATAATCAATCTTGTCGAAAGCCTTACTGAAGTCGGTATAAATAACATCCACCTGCAGTTTCTCATCTATTGCGTGAGAGGCATATTCTATAAAAATCATCAAGTTCGTCTCTACAGATCTTTTAGGGAAAAATCCATGCTGGTGTTCCGTAATGATATTTTTTGTAATGTTTAAGATAGCATCATAAATCAGCTTTTTAAAAATTTTTGAGAAAATACAAAGTTTAGTGATAATTTTCCACAAGATGTCTATCGCCTCCTTTATGAATAGGCAATATTTCACCTTCTTTCCATCTCGTTGGAAAGACTCTTTGAGTTAATGATAGTTTGAAAATTAGGTGAAGTGGTAAACATAAGCTAGCTGAACAGTTTTTTATAAATACAGGAGGTATGCCGTCAGGGCCTACTGATTTTTTAATTTCTAAGGACACTATTTGTTGATTTTTTCAATGGATATTAAGGTAACATCAATATGACTAGCATCCTTGTTTTAATAAAAATGTTTAGATTTAACATATACACTTGCAAAGAAATCAGCAAAGGCATTACACACCCCACTTCCGGTTTTAACTTCATAGTGTGAATGATTTATAGAACTAGGTATAGAGACATGACATTTTTTCTTACTTGAAACGTATTTCCAAAAGTGTCGGCTGTCGTTCAATATATTGTTTTCCATCATTGTTATGTATTCCTCCAGATTTTCCTTAATTAAGATTTTTCATTTGGCTCTAAGGTCACAGAATATCTGATATGAGTATGGATCATTAAAACGTTTGTATAGCCTATGATACTTTTTTCTCTTAACTGTTTGTATTGTTTCAAGTTTAAAGTATATTGGGTATTTTCCTCGAATTTTATATGTTGGTGTAAATTTGTGAATAGTTTCATTGAGTATGTTATAGAATATGGCTACAGCTTCATCTACAGATTTGGTACTAAATAATTTTTCCCATTCTATGTCTAAAAGAGTATTATTTATGGAAGAATAGTCAGCTTTATTAAAGTTGTGAAGGCATCGGCTCTGGTGTATTAATGGCTTAAGTAAAACATGCTCAAAACAAAATGTAATTGCAGGATGGTGATTATCCTCAGGAACCAATATGTCAACCGAATTCGAAATATTTTATATTGAACATTGGTTACTAAGTATCAAGTCTAATAAACGGTTATTTGAATTGTAAATTTTATTAAACTGCATTAACTGTAGATACAATATGTCAAGTAAGGCACTCGTTTTCTCTTCAACATTAAGTGGCTCCATAAAATGTTCATTAAGTACAGTGGCGTCGACATTCTCGACCAGACTCTGATTGTGAAGGATACAGCTACCGGCTAGCAACATAAATATATATGCACGTGAGTAAGCACCCCTATAGGAAGAATCATTTTCCACCCCAAATAAATAATTCGCCAGAACAAGACAACCCAAAACCTTTCTTCCCCCAAGGAAATGATTCTCCAAAATGATTTGTATGCCAAAACAAAAACACTCTATTATAGAGACAATTTATGGGCTAGGTGGCCTGGTGTGAGAAAGCTTCTGAAGGGGTAGCAGCTAAAAAAATATATTTGTAAATTCATTATCACCCCCAAGAAAATGATCCCCAAAATCAGTTGTAGCTCAAAAAAATACTCTATTACAGAGACAATTTATAGACTAGGTGGCATGGTGCGAGATAGCTTCTGAAGGGGTAGCAGCTAAAAAAATATGTTTATAAATTCATTTTCAACCCCAAAGAAATGATTCCCCAAAATCAGTTGTAGCTCAAAAAAATACTCTATTACAGAGACAATTTATAGGCTAGGTGGCATGGTGTGAGATAGCTTCTGAAGGGGTCGCAGCTAAAAAAATATGTTTATAAATTCATTTTCACCCCCAAAGAAATGATTCCCCAAAATGAGTTCTACCTTAAAAAATACTCTGTTACAATTTATAGGCCGGGTGGCATGGTGTGAGAAATCTTCTGAAGGGGTGGCAGCTAAAAAAATATATTTATAAATTCATTTTCACCCCCAAGGAAATTATTCCCCAAAATTAAATGTAGCTCAAGAAAATACTCCATCATAGAGACAATTTATAGGCTAGGTGGCGTGGTGTGAGAAAACTTCTGAAGGGGTAGCAGATAAGAAAATATAAATAAAAAATTATTTTCACACCCAAGGAAATGATTCCCCAAAATGAGTTGTACTTCAAAATCATACTCTATTATAGAGACAAGTTATCGGCTAGGTGGCATGGTGTGAGGAACCTTCTAAGGGGGTAGCAGATAAAAAAATAGGATTAAAAATTCATTTTCACCCCCAAGGAAATGATTCCTCAAAGTGAGTTTTACCTCAAAAACATACTCTATTATAGAGACAATTTATAGGCTAGGTGGCATGGTGTGAGGAAGCTTAGAAGGGGTACCAGATAAAAAAATATGATTGAAAGCTCAATTTTCACCCTCAAGGAAATGACTCCCCAAAATCAGTTGTACCCCAAAAAAATACTTTATTATAGAGACAATTTATAGGCTAGGTGGCATGGTGTGAGAAAGCTTCTGAAGGAGTGACAGCAAAGAAAATATATTTATAAATTCATTTTCTCCCCCAAGGAAATGATTCCCCAAAATGAGTTGCACCTCAAAACAAAACTTCATTATAGAGACAATTCATAGGCTAGGTAGGTACACACACTTGGCTATCTGCTAAGTTTTAGTACTACCCGGTGGCTATTCGTCTTGGCAAGAAAACACCAAGCCGCGAATGCGTAGATGATTGCCGGGTTATTACCATGTTATACAACCGAATCTTGTTGATCAAACTTAATTTTGAATTTCTGCACAACAAAGGATAAAGCTGCCGAAAGGTAATTTGAAATTTTGTTTTCAAAATATCAGTATGTTTCTGCCAGGTCAACCCCGTGTCAATGATGACTCCAAGATACCTGACAGATTGCTTCCATGGTATACGAGTTCCATTCATTGATATCTCTGAGGGAGCACCGCGACGTTTTTTCAACCACCGATCCGCCCACTCCAATACTTCCTCCACCGCACTCTGCAGCCTGTCGTGAACCAGGTTACCAGAACAAGACTGGGCTAGCAGCATAGAGATAGACTCAACAGTTGCTGGAGCAAGGGACGTTATGTATAGAAAGTGAAGGATTGGTCCTAAGACCGAACCCGAAGGAACACTGGCTCTTGTTGACAAGACGTTGTTAATTTTGATCCGAAACTTCCTTCCTTCTAGAAAAGATTTCAACAGTTTTAGTATCCAAAATGGAAAACCCTTTTGGATCAGCTTATACAAGAAGCCTTTGATACATCTAAAAGCAAGATACCAGTACTTTTGTACTTCCTGTAGCTCCGTACTATGCTCAGACCGAAAGCCGAATTGCACGTAAGGAATCACATGGTGATCTGACGAGAAATTCTCAAGGTGACGATAAATCACCTTTTCAGCGAGCTTAGAAGGAGCTGACAGCAGACTAATGGGACGGTAATCCTGGGGGAATATCGAACCTGCCTTCTTTAAGATCATGATGACTTCAGCAATCTTCCACGCTTTAGAAAAGTAATGAGTTCTGAGCATTGCATTGATTACTGCCACCAGATAAGTCAAAGCCTTGAGCGAAAGCAACTTCAGTGCTTTGTTGGTGATTTGATCCTCTCCAGGTGCTTTACGCACCTTTAGGTCCTTAATGTGGCCTTGGAGCTCTGCTGGTGTGCAAAACGGAATCTCAGAGGATTCCGTTGATGTGCTATGTTGAGATTCATCTGAAGAGTCTTCCGTAGAAGAATCTTCTGAAAAGGAGTCACCGATGTTAGCACTGATGTTGATATCGCCATTTGCTCTGGTATATCTCTTGACAGATCTTACAATTTGTCGTTCCTCGTCGAGGTCATTGTCCAGATCATAATTGGGAGAGAACTGCCTTTTCATGGCGTCAGCAAAAACTTCCACTTTATCCTCAGTCCTGAAAACTATGCCTCCAGGACCATGAATATGTGGTAGTTGTTTTTGCCTTCCGTTTCTGAGCGATTTTGCCACTTTCCAGAGAGGAATACTCTTTTCAAGCATCCCCGCCACAAAGTCGCTCCACCACTCATTGCGGGATTCATGGAGTGCATTTTTCACTTCATGGGCGAGATTCGTCGCTCTACGAATGTCATCAGCATGACAAGACCTTTTTGCTTGCTTAATCGCAGCCCTCTTGTCAGAAATTTTCCGACGAATGTCAGCAGGGATAAAAGGTCTGCCGTGTCGCTGCACCGGAAGTACAGCAACTCGCTGTAGAGTTTGATGAACGAAACATGTCCACTCCGATTGAGCAGCATCAATTCCGTTCTCATCATGTATGACCGGGACGCGAGGAAACTCTGAGAAATGACTTGTATAGTTCCCAATCAACTCTATTCCTTAGAGGAGTTTCCCCCTCCACGAAATGCCCATGACCTACCTCCAGAACAACAGGTAGATGGTCACTAGAGATGTCATACAAGATCCTAGAAGCAATACTGAACCTACAGTTTTTAGATATTGCAAAGTCTATAACATCCGGTGCCTGAAGGTGATTGAAATGATGGTGTGCCGGCTCTTCGGTGCTGTGAATAAGATACCCGTTTCGCATAACATGGTTGTAAAGCCGAACCCCACAAGTAGAGTTTAGCCTTGAGTGCCATGATCGGTGTTTGCAGTTGTGGTCCCCTGCCGCAATAAGGGGGCCCGAACAGTCCAGAAGAACTTCCAAGTCCTCCTCTCGCAGCCTGACACCGCACCTGACATACACCGAGGTGATCCTCAACGGAATGCATCCCGCCATATTGACCACCACGGACGCCGCTTCAACGCTTTGCATCTCGGCGTTTGTGCTTCTGTGATAGTCAATACCACGTTTAACGAGCACAGCCAAGCCACCACCCCTACCATTCAATCTGTCAGCACGTATAACATCATAATTCGAGAAAGCTAAGCGATCTCCCGGATTAAGTAATGTTTCCTGCAGCAGAGCTACGTCTATACTCTCATCCAATAGAGTTTGATGAATTTCCCGTTTTTTGGGAATATCCCTTAGGCCCAGACAATTCCAAAAAAGAATTTTGATAAATGCAGGTTGTCTATTGTACTTAGCCATTCAATGGCTGCGGAAAGATCGCCTGCAATGCTGAGTGACGCTAATCAGGGGACTTATTATTTCTTGAAGGGACCTAAGCGCAGTTGCTAGGTCCACATTCTGCGTGTTCAAAGTGGGTTGAACAGAGGGGTCAGTCGAAGATGTTGAGACTGCTGCTTCCGCGTATGACTTGATGCGTCTTTGCGCTATGACTTCCAGATTTCGCCTGGGGGTGAATCTGCACGTGGGACTGTTAGCGGCATGCGCCCCTCCACAGTTCTTACACCTTCGCTCCTCTTGTCCTGTGAGGGGGCATAAATGTGTCATGTGGTCGGAAGCACATTTCAAAAATTTGGGAGGTGCTGCGCAGTAAGACTGCGCATGACCATACCTTTGGCAGCGGTGACACTGCCCAATAAGTCTAGAGTTCTTTTGAATTTCAACTCTGATTGCTAGACCCAGCAGCTCATGGTCATTGAACAGCTGCTCGGACTTTTCAATCTTGGGCGGTATCACGACCACCAAAGGCATGGGTGCGCCGCCACTGCGTTTGAGTCGGATAATGTGGAGAGGAGTATATCCCCTCTGTTCTAATTCCCCTTTGATCTCCTGTTCCAAAAACATTGCGGGTATACCTCTGACTACCGCGTGAATATTTCGTTCTGAAGGAAGAGGGAACGTATGATGGGGCACGTCCTACTCCCTGAACAGGCGAACGATCCTGCGGTAGTCATCCTCAGTTTTCGGCAAAATCCTGATTCCCGCATCAACGGCAACTGCGCGTTCTATCTTAATGCCTAAGCTTATAAAGGTGTAGTTTAGGTTTCGCCACTTGGCCGCATCTCGCAAAACAATGGGCGTGATTCGCCCCTGGCGGGGTGCTGTGCTGGTCAACTAACCAGAAACGTGAGATTGTTGAGATAATGCACCATCAGTCGATGCAATGGCCAAAGATTGAGATGTGGTCGCTGCATCGACTGTCATAGGACAAGTGGCAGAAGAAGTTGATACGTTTAATGAAGCAGACGGTTTTGAGGGGACTATCAACTAGAATTTGGATTTTGCTTCTGGAAGAGGTGGGAAAAGTCTTATCGGTTTTGTTCATTTTGTTGCTGCGTCTTTTCCTAGACTTGGCCTGGATGAATCCGTCATTCTGTATTTCATCGTCGGTAGATGTCAGGTCAGTTAAATTTTCGAGAGGTCTTTTTAAAATTGACAGACTTGTCAGATTTAGAAT